AACTCCTGAGTTTACTGTCACTTTAACAAGCAGGAGAAACACAAGACTTCTGCTAAAATCTCTTACACACTTTCAGCTTAAAGTTGGCCATGCAGTTTATCGCAATGTCCAATCTCTTTTACATCTAGCAATAACTATGTGGTACAATGGCCTTCCTGATTGGAAATACCTGGAAGAAGTAGTGTAAGTAGGCCCTCTTACTAACCGAGGTGGATAAAAAAAAAAGATTGAACAGAGATTGTAGACTCCAAATGTAATAAGTGTGGTCAGTTTAAAGTGTGGCTGTGGAAACTAGTCATAAGGCTATAGACATCAATTAAACAAGGCCTTACTGACCTATATGGGTGCCGGCATTGTGAAGCAATTCTTCCTACGTTCACACCAGATACAATGAAGTAGTTTAAAGTGAACATGTGTCCAAACTATGCACATTGAAGTTTTTACATATTCTAAACAAACCTAAGGTTTATGGTGGGGTAGAACCGCTTCCAGCTAGCCAGCCTGGTAAACCTTATGTCAGCTGCATTCCCTCCTGCTATAAGCTCATTGCTTTAGCAAACATGAACATATACCAGAAGGGTCTCCTAAGCTCTTCTCACTAATGGATAGCTGTGATTAGGGGCAGACAGGCCGCTGATCAAAGCCATTCATACAAAAACATCTGGTGAACCACTGAGGACAGAGAACTTAGCTGGAAAATGAATGTTAAATGTTATTATTACTACAGGTATTTCTATAGCACTGACAATATACACAGCGCTTTACATAGTGTGCATTCACATCAGTCCCTACCCTCAAGCTTACAATCTAAGGTCCCTATTCAAAATGCATACATATGAGGGCCAATATAGACAGGAGCCAATTAACCTTCCAGCATGTCTTTGGATTGTGGGAAGAAACCCATGCAAGCACAGGGAAAACAGGCAAACCCCTTGTAGATAGTGACCTGGGATTTGAACCAGGGAGCCCCAAAGCAAAGCAGAAGTGCTAACCACTTCACTGCCCAAATCTATTTAATTTAAAACCCCCTTCCCAGACAACTTCTGTCACAGTGCAGGTTCCTAGCAGTGCACCGACTATGCCAACAGCTCTCCTGCCACCTGCCCATAATTTAGACATACTTTATGTTAAGATCCATGATAGCAGGGAGGTCACAGGGGCCCCATGATTGGTTAGGACCCTGAAACAGTCACTAACAAGTGGCAGTAAAAGTAGCGGACTTTTCTCTAGGTCACCAGTACTTACACCAATCATACACTATGCCGCCAGTGACTGGGAATGACATCTCCATTAGCAGGGAGGATGTTTCAGTAGTTTCTGATATTCAGGCCCACTGATGCTTTAAAAAGAAAACAGAATAGTTGAAGTTGATTTATTTTAATAACAATAACCCAGTTTTATCCAACTAAAAGTAAGAGTTTTTTTTATTCATGAAAATAAGTGCAAATATATTGGAACGTTAACATTTTGGGAGGATGAACAAGGGTTATACAATTGGTAATTGAAATCTTTAAATATACTTCTCTGTTATTCACTCTGACAATCCGCTGACAAAGCAATAATGGGATTTATGGGAAAAATTGACTTTTGGTATCACTTTTTTTTTTTACACTGATGTAATCAACTTGATAAAGCACTAAAGAGCAACGAGTCCAAAAAAAAGCTACAAGATGTCACCATTCCTCAGTGTACTCCACACAAACAAAACACAGTTACTACTACACTGCTGTTAGGTACATTTTAGCCTTGATGAAAAAAGATTGGTAATGTGAAATCCAACCCAGTAACCAATGTTCACATAGCAGAAACAAACTGTTGCAAACAGCAAGCCATAAACAAGTCTCTCTTTTAGAGGACACACTGCATGAGATAAAAACGTCATAATCCAATTTGCATTATAGGTATAGAATTACGTTAGGACAATATATTTGTATTTTTTATTGTGGATTGGTTATTTATATGTATATATAAAAACTAAACATAGAATATCAAGCTTACAAGACAACAACAAAACACCAGTTACTGCTTGGCATTATCCAGTTCTTATTAACACGGATGACATTTCTTCATCAATAAATAGATTTCCAGGTCATTATATACACATCATTATCTTTTCATTTTTTACATGATATACAATAAGGCTTTATCATTGCACAATGGATGTGGCGAGGTTTCATTCTAAGGCTTTGGCTACATACAACTCATAAATCTAAGACACCAGATCATCACACTCATACAGCACACAAAGCAATGGAAGTAACAGCAAAGGATTATCTTTTGAATGAGTTAGCTTTCAACTACACAACCTCCTGCTAGAAAGTAGTATATTAATTCAAGCACCGCAGTATGGTTCAAGTTTTACTATCACTACTTTAGCTTCAGTACCGGCAATTCAAAAAAAGAAAACCGAGAGATTTCTAAAATGTTCTTTGCAAATCTGCAGCATACATTTCCGCAGGTCACTGTACAGACTTCTGAGCTACCCATGTTACTGATATAGTGTGTACTGACAGACCAATACAGGGATGCAATTCATGTAAGGTGACTACAGCTGGATGTTTTTTTATAGCGAGAAGAATTTCCTGGGAATAAAATCAAAGCAGCTAGTACTTCTACTTACTATTACAGCATGAGCCGTCATTAATCTGCTTGCCCATACACTAGGCTGAGGATGCATGCTGCAGCTTATCACTAGCGATATATACTCCTCCTTAGCCTGTAGTTACAGCAGGCAGGTTACCCCTATATATCTATAAAGGCAAACAGGCACCATAGAGTTGATGTATCTAGAAGTCATTCTGTTCTAGGCCCAGGCCTATGTGTCTGCCCAGAAATCTAAGCCTAGAATGCTGCTTGTTGTTTTGTACGAAGATTGTGAATTATGAAAAAACACATTTTAACAGTTTTATTGCTGGGGCCCCTATAAGACTCCTAGTAAACCTACAGCTGCCCCGTATATACTCCATCTGGTGCCAGATCTGCAATATGTACTATAATGGCCGCAACGTCCTTCAAAGATAATATTTGGAACAATACAATGTAATAAATACATTATAAACCATAAGATCTTTAAGCTTTTTCTGAAGTTTTCAACCATATGATACAATTGACAACAGACTTTATCAATCTATAAATGTAACAACGGAAGCATACAACATGGTTTTAAGTTATAACATGGGCAGCTGTAGGAGAGGTGTGAAAAAAGGATACAATGGAAAAAAAACCATTTAGGAAGGAATCTCATTCTTTCACATGGACCCCCATTAAGTTTAACATCCTAGAGACGCAGAAGTGCATGGGATCAGTTTGTTCTAGGCTCAGACATCAGTAATTCCTTGTACCGTGGGTTGTTCTTTGGTCAGAACTACAAAGCAGCTCACTCTGTTTACACCTGCACCTCGCTAAAGCATCAAATGACTTTTCTGGAGCTTTCAAAATATACTTGAACATCTGTGAGAAGAGAAATAATGCAATTGCCACTGGTGACTTGTTTTTCAAAGCTTACGTTCCATAACCATCATACTTCAGTTTACTACACACATTACAATCTCCCTTAGGCCTCATTCATATGGGCAGCCAGGGGCAGTAAAACCAGGCAGTTTATCTGCGTCTTACTAGGGATGCGCCGATACTAGTATCGGTATCGATGCCGATACAGAGTATTTGGGCAAGTACGAGTACTCGCCCAAATGCCTACTCCGATATCGGAACTTCCGGTATCAGGAAGCCGCGCGGCAAGTCATTACACACTGCCTGGCTGGGAAGCCGGCTCCATGCTCCCTTGCCACTTGGTGATGAGGGAGCATCGAGCCAGCTTTCTGGCCAATCAGAAAGCTGGGCGGCGTGTAATGAGTCGCCGCCTGGCTTCCTGATTGGCCGGAAAGCTGGCTCCATCCTTCCTCGTCAGCAAGTGACGAGGGAGCATGGAGCCGGCTTCCCACCCAATCAGGAAGCCAGGCAGCGTGCAATGACTTGCCACCCCCACCTTCCCGATACTGGAAGTTCCGGTATCTGGATAGGCATCGGGAGCATTTGGGCAAGGCGGCTTCCCAGCTAATCAGGAAGCCGGGCGGCGAGTCATTACAGCCTCCTGGCTTCACTAATGAGACTTCCGGTATCAGTTTCGGCGACTACAGAAAAAAAAAATGGTACTCGATACCGCAAAACCGGTATCGGTGCATCCCTAGTTTTTACCACTTCCCAGCCACCAACTGTACAAACAGAATAAAGTGTGTGGAGAGCTGAATAAAGTGTGTGGGAAGAGATAAAAGGATAACTTTTATCACTTCCCACTACCCGGGGCAAACTAATGCATATTAGGTGTGCACATTTGCTTATGTTTGATATGCACATTTCAAGTCAGTGACTTAACCAGTAGAGAAGGAAGGATAACAGTCCTGCAGCATTCAACTCCAAAAACAAGTCAGTAATGACAACTCCCATATTTCTATCCTTACAGAATGTCAAGGGAAAAATCATAACCCCAGCATTTCAGTTATGTGACCCTCATGTGGGTTCTACCTCACTAATAATATTGCAAGCATCTTCAATGTTCATAGTTCTATACTTTTCCTCCTGAAACCATCATCATCCAAAAGGGTGACTGGTTAAAGCTCCACTACTAAAACATTTCTTCGGTCCCCTCTCCTCCATATCTTGACTGGACAATAAAGGAGTGCATTGATGGGGTCATCCCTGTGCTCACCACTCCTGTAAACGTTTAGAATTCTAGACTTGCAGCACAATGAAAAATGAATATCAATCTGACAGATTGTAAATTCTTCACCACCCAGTCAGAGTGCTCCTGTACTGGAGATTAGAAGAACCCAATGTAAAGACAGATTTGCATACATATACTGTACCAGCTGCATTACCAAATACATTCATGATTTAATCATGAATACATAACTGGATTGAGGGTGTTTTTAATACTAGCCTGGAGTTTTGGCTTTAAAACCAGTGTCAATTGCATGCAAATCGACACAATTAAACTTATCAAATATCAGAAAGAAAAATGATCTATAGCATTAGTCTCTGCAGAAATGCCAGGCCTATTACATTCAGGGAATGATCCATGTAGAGGAAAGGTAGCTTGTATCGGCTAACACTCTGATGAGGTCACTGAGAGATGGAGCAGCAGCATTCGATAAAGCATGAGTAGACACAGTGTCAATGTCTGCACTGTGATACCCGCAGTAACACAGACCACGACAAGAGCTGCTATGTACTGCTCCCTCCGCTGCTTTTTCCTGAGCTGCTGCTCTTCTGCATGCGGCTGGCACTTGGTTGGCGAGGCACTCTCTGACTTGAACCTTCTCTGCTGCTGCGTTCACTTTGTCCTTGACTTGCACTTGGAGGAGGGTTCAGTTTGTGTTTTCCTGCAGAATGAGAAAAGGTTCTGTTGTCAGTAAAACCCAAGACAGATGCATGAAAAAATGTAAAGTATTGCTAATGTTCCTTCTTTTGTATCTTTCTGTGTAAATGATATTGTGCATTTGTAAAACAGGAAATTCAATTTTGCGACGAATCAAAAATATCCGCTCTGGTGGATTGGAACTCAGTGCTTACCTCTGGCAAAGGTAAATATGCGCACGCTATTTATATGTGTACGTTACTCTGGTCAAGTAACAGCTTTTTTTTTTTTTTCCCGTGCAGAGACAAAAAACAAACATATTTCTGCCAATTTTAACATATTTACTATTGACATATTGACAATTTTACATATTTACTATTTACTATGGACAACATGTCAGTAGCTCTACAATCAAGCTCCATTCACATTTAGCGTTTGCGCTTCCGAGCGGTTTTCTGTGCGGTAGACTGCACAGTACGAAAACGCTAAAATGTTTACATCTGCATGGATTCCGCTTGTTTGAGGCTATTACTATACCTGCAAACGTGCTTGGACTGTTTTGCGGGACGAACGATTTTGTATCACACGGTTCCCGCAATAGTCTGAACGATGCACATTACATAGTTACATAGTATTTGAGGTTGAATAAAGACACATGTCCATCAAGTCCAACCTATTGTGTGTGTGTGTGTGTGTGTAAAGATCCCCGACTCGTTTTTAGGAGTACTTGTACCCCTGTATATTACTGTTACTCAGGAAATCGTCCAAAAGCTTCTTGAATGATTCCAGACTATTAGCTGAAATCACTGCTTGTGGCAGTGAGTTCCAGACCCTAACCGCGCGAACTGAGAAGAATCCCCTTCGCCCCTTGTGTTTGAATTTTTTTTCCTACCAGTTTTAGGTGGTGGCCTCTAGTCTTTGTTACGGAATTAATCGTGAAGAGTTTATTGCTAATGTTGCTATGACTATGGAACATTTTGTACATGAAAATCATGTCCCCCCTTAATCTCCTTAGTTCCAGCGTGAACATATTTAAATTTAGTAACCGTGTCTCATAGCTCTGGTCCTCCATCCCTTTGATGAGTTTGGTCGCCCTTCGCTGGACTTTCTCCAGTTCAAGGACATCCCCTCTGTGTACCGGTGCCCAAAACTGCACCGCATACTCCAGGTGAGGCCGAACCAGTGATGTGTAAAGTGGCAAAATTATAGACTTATCCCTGCAAAACATTCCCTTCTTGATGCAGGACATGACTCTACTAGCTTTGCTTACCGCAACCTGGCACTGTAATCTATTATTGAGTTTATGGTCTACAGTGACCCCCAAATCTTTCTCCATTTCAGAATTCTTTTTTTAGGTTTAGAGCGGTTTAGGCTCCATTCACACAGGAGCGGTTGTCAATATGTGCGGACAACCACTCTTGTGTGAATGGAGCCTAAAACCCCATATGTTGGGGTAAAACACGATATGGATTGAGGCGAGGAGGGTTATCTGATTATCTTAGTATAGATACAGTATATATCAGTGCGCGATGGTTTTCATCGTAAATTGTACCACTGAGGAGCAGTGACGGGCTTACCGGCCAGATCCAGCACCCGCACCTTTGAACTGATTTGAGTAAATCAGTTTGCGTTTGGAACAAGGTCGACTTTTGTACATTAGTCTATAATTCTTCAGTTTTTGCCTTCAAACAGCATGGAGCCGGCTTCCCAGGCAATCAAGAAGCTGGGCGGCGGGTAATGACACACTGCCAAGCTTCCTGATTGGCCGGGAACCGGCTCCATGCTAGCTGAAGTACCGGTATCGCTATGTGGTATAGGCGAGTACTGAAAGATAAATACCAGTACTTGATACCGAAAAAACTGTATCAGTTCGGGTAAATAGACACCAAACATGTCAAGCCTTAAAATTGCGTGAACTATGAGGTAAAAAGCACTCACCTCATAGTTCTTCTTTAGGCTGGGTTCCCACCTAGGTGATCGAAATATGCGCGTATGACACGTGTTTCATGCTGCGCATTTTCCCCCCGATTTGCGGCCCATGAAACGCGCGTTTATGAGGGCTGTCCGGCTGTATCCTAATGGATACGCCCAGAAATATGCCCCAAAGCTCCTGTACTCCTTTGGGCATAAGGAAATAATGGGATTTCACTTGCTGGGCGTTTTACAGCACGTCGATCAGCGCTGTAAAACGCCCAGGTGTGAACCCGGCCTTAATGGCTCTAAAATTATTGCTCTCACTCCGACGTTTGCGGCTATATGCAACATGTGCGGCACAAATCTGTGTGTATGTGGGGGGGCGGGGACTTTAAAAAAAAAAAAGTATTTTTAAAATGTTTATGCTTCATTTTTTTTTAATGATTCTTTAATTTTTGTACTTTTTTTTTTTTTTACACACAACTTTATTGCTATTACATGGGGGGCTAAGAAGCCCCCTATGGGATAACCAATTTACATGACAGGTCCTCTTTATGGAGACATCAGGGGTCTCGAAGACCCCTAATGTCATCTAGGGACCCCAAGAGAAGCTGATGAAGCAGAGATCGGCTTCATCAGCTTCTCTAGCTGAAGAGTGACACTGAATGCAGGAAGTGATGTAATATACATCACTAGGGAGTTCGTATACTGAACTCCCTTTGATCTCCTGTCACAGAGCTGTGGACGAGTGGAATTTTCAAGCCCTGTGTATGTATGTATGTATGTATATATAATATATTTTTCAAGCAAAGCACTGGAAGACTGGAGAAGAAAACAACAGCCTAATTTTTCTCACCAGGCTTCCTTTTTAAGATCTGCTGTATATCTGTGTTAAATGTATGAGCACAGGAAATGTCTGTCTTTGCAAATTAGATAGAGAATCCTATTAAGTGATATATAACATTTTTTTTTTCAATTTTAGAGGCAAAATGAAGAGAATTGCCTTCCAGTTCACGCCCTATAGTTGGGTAAAGTTTGAATGGAAGCCGGCTTCGAACCTGCGAAGATGGTTGGCAGTTTGCGGTATTATATCTGTAGTGAGTACAGTATAAAGATCCTTAACCACAACAGATGTTTGATGGCACTGTTATCGAGCACAATACAAACCTCTCGGTAGCAAAGCAAGTTAATGCACCAATACATAAATTCAAGCAATGGTGTTCAGTTGGGAATAGAAGCCAGTCTTGCTTAAAGGGGAAATTACTACAATGCCGCTGTCCAATGCCAGTTCTAAGACCAAGAAGTGAGCGTTTGCGGGACCGTTGATCAGTCGGCACTCACTCCGTGCTCTCAGCAGGCAGCAGTGACGGTCGGCCATTGCCTGACCCACCTCCCCTCCCAATTTTGTCACAATCCTTCTCGACTACAGAGCGGCTCTATGCTGTCAGCTGATAGCAGGCTTATGCCTGCTTTCTGCTGACTTTTGGACACAGAAGTCTATTGGCGAATGTACATCTGTACCCAAAAGAAAAGGTTTGGGTTTACTTTTTTAATAAGTGAAAAATGAAAATAGTGGATTGCATTGCAATACATTACTCTATTTGCACTTTGCTCTTTAATCCCAAGTAAATTACGGCATAATAATAAAGAGCTAAGTGTAGCAGCTCATAACATTCAGCATTCATGTTAAACTAATCAGACACCAGTTTGGTGAATTCTGATTGAATACATGGTTACTGCACTTTACACCATTTCATTCCTTATTTATTGATGAGCATTATTGTGCTTTAGACTTATTACTCACAACCATGGGGGACTTCCATGGGATTATTTAAAACTAGGGATGCACTGATCCCGGTTTTTCTGTATAGAGCACAAGTACCGATATTTCTTTTTCAGTACTCGCCGATACAGAGTATCGGTGCCTTGTGCCCCGACTATCAGGAAGTCGGGCAGCAGATCATGACCTGTCGCCCAGCTTCCTGTGAAGCTGGTGTTCTAGCAAAAGAACGCCGGCTTTACTTGCCGAGGCTGCCTTGCTTCATGACCATTTAGGAAGCCAGGATGCGAGTCATGACGTACCGCCTGGCTTCCCGATTGTAAAAATATAAATAAATAAAAGGTGGAAAACTTCATTTTAGATTTCGGCCTGAAAACTTCTGCTACGGGATGTGCGTTGTTGTGCCATTCATTTCAATGGCATCCCAAACACGCTTCCCGCCCGCAGTGGAATGTGCGGCACTGCAATGCCATGTGTTCCAGTGCAGTGCAATTGCAAAAAATGTGCATACAGTTTAATTATGAAGTAAATTTTATGTTGTAACACTCCATGTGTATTTTTTTTTTTACATTAAAAGATGGGATTCCCCCCCCCCCCCGATTAATCTAAAAAGTAATCAGCCAACTAATTGATTATGAAAATAGTTAGTTGCAGCCCTAATTGCAAACAAAAGCATCATCTCCCCTATCCCTGCCCACACGCACAAATCATTCACTAAAGAGGTTAAATGGTATGTCCAGCTTAAACTTTTTTCTTTTAATAGATGCAATGGAGTAGGATTGGAGACTGATTTCTTAAGATATCTGAGGCTCCATTAAAAGACATTTCCCTTCATACATACATGGCTCGAATTTCTGCCGATTTCAAGCTGTGGGTGGCCTTGCTGGCACCACTCGCTCAACAAGAGTTGAATAACAAAAAAAACTCAAAAGGAGCTGGGTGGAAAATAGTTGACTGAGCAGTGACTGCATCCAAACCAATGGAGTCAGTTTTCAGGTACTCAGAAAGCTATGGGGTACGAGCTGTCTGAATATGGTAGCCAGTAGTGCAGATTCCTCTTTGCATGCTGTTTAGTGTAATTGTGAGAATCAAGTGATTCTTCTGCCTACTGTCAGTGATAACGTCACTACACAGAAAGCAAATAAAAATCAGCAACAGGAACACAGAAAGCAACAAAATGCTAAATGAAAGGAAAAGCCAGCAGTCCTTAAACACTATGTAATAAAAACAGAGGTGGAGATACTCTGGGAGCTTCTGGTGTGTCCCAGAATTTGTTACCTCCAGGCAATCTATGTATTGTTATGTATATCCCAGGATTGGCACTTTGTTTA